TTAGGAATAATGTAGTATGAATGAGTGAGACAAGAGTGTGAACGAGGGGTCTTGGCTCATTTCCCAACCTCGGGGGGGATCATCAGGCTCAGTAGTGGATCATCACTTGGCCTGAGGAACGAATACTATATTTTGAAGCCACCAAAAATCACCAACACAATATCGCCTATTCCAATCATCACGTCAAATACTCCACACCTGTCATAACATCTATCAACAGGCCTATTCGGATCTCGCGCATTCTCCTAAAGACAGCATTGGGGCGCAGCACATTACGGGGCCCACCCAATCTAACCAACCACGCGTACAATGCACGAAACCCATCCACGAGGAGATGCTCACCTTTGAAAAGACGTCATACACCACTTGACACCAACGTTCTACACCTGAGATGAATAGACGGCGCTGCCGCACAGCACCTGGCCGGGGAAATATGCAAATGAGACCGAGATTGGCTAATCGTTTGAATTCAGGACCAATGTCAAGGCCCAAGAGAAATGAAGCAAGATACATGTGATCGAGAAGGCAATAATCATTTCTGCCTTCATCATCACTTCCAGTTCTATCGTTAGACGTTGTACATCATTTAATTTCTAACAATTGTGTGGATACACAATTTATTTTTTCTGACGAATAAATAAATCCACACAGTTTTTAGAAATTAAACGTGTGGGACTCGACGTGGGATTTGGGGGGAAAAAGATACTCCGAACGATATATGGACGATCCCTAGGACGAACTCCAAGCGAAATGATGAGGCGACAAACCCAGGCGAATTCTCGAAGCGGTATTCAACGAGCGGGCGCGTGACGATTTACACCGGCAGGCGACATCGTGAGCCAGGACGAATGGTTAACGTGAGTGTGCACATTTAAAGCGGTAATTGCTGGTGTGGCGTGATTATTCCCCTGCGTGGGAGAATTTTGGACTCACGCGGGCTCCTGTTAGCTTCTTTGACAGGAGAAATAATTAGTTGTTACGGAAACAGTCGAATCCATCTTCAAACCGCGTGGGGAATTCGAGTCGATGCAATTTTGGTGCAAGAGATCATAGATCTGTTCGAGCGACCTATGGTATATGCCGTAACGAAACAGTAGGGAGAATTGACCGGCATCAATAAGGGAATTTTCTGAGATAATTATAATTTGGACTTGTGGTTTTAATGTCTTTTCATTTTCATAATTGTTGTCCGGAGGCGCAAGGAAGAGAGAAAATATATCTCGGCTAGTGTCGCGGGTAAAGAGACATTGGAAAAGCCCTTACAGTGGCCACGGCTCTGCGCATCGTAGATTTACCACAAGGGATCCCGATCAGTATCAAATTTCTGTAATATTACAAGGATTTGACCCTTACATTATTGAAGGCTTAAAATATGTTGATTCAATTTCTCAAATAATATAATATTAATAATCTGATTTTTTACGAATAATGATGTATTTAAAATTTGTTAATATGAAACTGTAAATTTGCTACTAAATGAATAACACACAAAAAAAGTACTGATTCAAGTCGACGTCGGTTTGATTCTAACCGATTTTCGGCTTGATTCAGACCAAGTGACTTGGACTAGGCCAATCCGAATTTCGGATCTGATATATGTCGAAAAGTGGTTTATTTCAAGTAGAAACGAGTCCAGCCGACATCGGTTTGACTCAAGCTGAAAAATCGGTTTGAATCACACCGAAAAATCGGCTTGAAACAAACCAAAAAATGGAGTGATTCACGCCGAAATTCTGTCTGTTTCAGGTAGTGGACAGCAACTTGATTCTAGTCGATTTTTCGGTTTGATTCAAGTCGATTTTTCGGTCTGATTCAGGGCGATTTTTCGGTCTGATTGAAGTCGATCTTTCGGTCCGATTCACATGGAGAAAAGCAGTGGATTAGCTGTAGGAAAAATTGTCTAAATTTTAAAAACGGTGGTTTCTCACCTTCAGGTTTCTAAAATCAAGAAACTTTTTTCTAAATGTTCGAAAAAAATCGTTTAAAATTGATGATCAAAATTAGGATTAATTTTAAACTAAAATATACTTAATTTTAGAAAAAATATTTTCTAAAATCCAGAAACTTTTTTAAATTTTTGAGGGGGAATTTTGCAAAAGAGCGGTAGCGATATTCGGGGTGGGGGGCTTGTAAAGAGGGGGGTTGTGCCGGGTTGTTTTATGAAAGGGTGTATTATCCTTGGGGTTTATCAGTCAGCGCTCTTCATAACATTCATGACGGGTTGGAGGAGAGCATCAATGCGTCAACTCTTAGCGATATTGGCTTCTTTGGATTCTGAATGAGAGTAGTACACTGTTAACAATTTTTGTCTGAAATTTCCGGTACACTGTTTGGAAATTTTCATCGAATTTAAATATAACTGAAATTTCAAGAAATTTCTTCATTGAAACTGCAAAATTTTGTGTAAAAATCAAAGAGAATTGTCAATTTCAGTTCTATTTTTCCCCGATAATAAACAGAAAACCAGAAAATTCCGATAAATATATTCTTGACTTTTCACCACAGTGGCACTGATTAGATTGGAAATTCAAATAAATTAAGGAATTCTCGTCTTTATGCTGCTTAAAATTCTGGGATTTTACTGAATTTTCAGTGAAATCTGAAATTTCATGATTTTTTTCCCCTAAATCGCATTCAGTGTCACTTGCTCGTTTTAATTAATAAATTTACAACGATCCCGACCTCGGATTCACAACACGTGTTTTCTCCTCGAGAGCTCACACCAGAGAGAGAGCGCGGGGCATTTTTTGCACTTCCCCAGCTCCTCATGGCGACACTCGTCACCTGAGATATTTATTTTCTTCCCAGGACGACGGATGGCGCCCCAGGTATCAAAAGTGACAGCCGGCGGCGAATTTAGTAAAAATGAGCCTCGTGCTCCCCTTTGCCAGACCAGACGTAGGGATCCTCTTCAAGGAGCCCATATCTGATCGCCTGAATGGAACGAGGCATCGCTGTCGGCTTCCTACCTAGTGTTTTTAGATTTTTTATTTGTCGTACCAGGAACCTCTTGAGAGCAACGACAACGTCAATCTATTTTGATTGCAAATAAACTGAGAATGAAGATTCTTATTTTGGAATTTTATTCAATTTCCCCCGGAGGGGAAAGAATTCCTTTGGTAGGAAATCACTCTATGGCTCGAGTCCTGATATGATATTTTACAATTTTCCTACACGTCTTTTCAGTCAGAGTTTTTATTTTTTTATTTTTATTTCCGCCTACTTTTCGTTCTCATGGAATTGTTTCCGTTCTACTAATTTTAACAAATTTCATTTCAATGACTCAATTTTTTCTCCAGATTCTATCACAATTTTCTATTCCCAAAAAATTTATTTTCTATTTTCACTATTGCAACCTTAAAATTTCTCTTGATCCCACTATTTCAAAATTTAAAATTTTCTGCTTTTCCGGAGCCCGGGAGTTTACAAATTCTATCAAATTTTTAAAATTTTTCCGAATTTTTTCATCTTAATTTCCTCCGATTTTTTCCTCCGAACTTTCTTAAATTTTTTCAATTTCCAATTTTTTCCCATTTTTTTTTCAGCTTTGCAATCATTTTAATAGTGCAACTTATCTCGCACATCCAGGGTACGTCGGGGTTCTCACGAAGAAACCTGGGGGTCTCCCTGACTTCCAGGGGTGCGAGCCTTTGGGCTGGCTGATCCATTGTCGTCTCCAATGATCCCCCGGATGTTGGATGAGGAGTCCATCTTTGTGATAGCACCAGTACCTCTCTGGTAATTTCGATGCTTCTCTCTCCCATGGGTACTGCCGTTCCCGGCAGCTGTTGGGGTTGTACTCCATCCGATATTTCCTGCGTTTGGCCTGCTCTCCCCTCAGAGTCTTTACGAAGGTTATTTTTCCCTCAGCTCGAGCTCGACTTATCTCATGAGGGTATTGACAGGCCTCTGTTGATGTTCCTGGCGAGTGACAAAGGCGACATAAGTGGTTCCCAAGGGGTCTGGAACACTTCTTCCATCCGTGTCCACGATGTCCACAGTTCAGACTCCCTGGTGGAGCCTTTGGTTGCCTCGTCAGATGGTCGACCTTCCTGAGAATCTCCTTCTCAGTGCTGTCAACCTCAACCTCTCGAGCGTGGCCAGACAGTGTCGCCAGACTGTCGTGAAGCTCAATTGTGCCGACATCATATCCGTTTGTCTCGTCTTCTTCCTCTGAGACCGTCGAGGTCTCGTTTTCTCCATTGTCAAGTTTGACTTACTTGATTCGTCGACCCATTTTCGTTGGTGAGCCCTGTGGCCTCAAAGTCGTCGTCATCACCAGTACACGTTGCCTTCTCGTCCTCCATCGACTGTTCATCCGTTGGAACAGTTGAGGTGTCTGTGAATTCGGACACCTCGCGGTTGCTCTCCTCCTCCCCCAACTCACTGCAAGTCGAAGAGTTCAGTGTGTCCAATGATTCGTTGTCAAGCACATCGAGGTTGTTCTCTTCTTCCTCTTCAAATACCTCGAGAACACTTTCCTCCTCCTCCCCCGTCTCACTGCAACTTGAGGAGCAGCGTGGATCTGCTGATTTATCCGGGGATTCCTCGAGGTCATTTTCTACTCCAGCTTTTGGACCTATTGGAACACGAGTTTGAGATTCTTGCTTGATCGTCTGCGGACTCTGTGGTGCGGGGTTACTACCAGAGCCGAGTATTACTGCTGGTGCCCCTTGGCGTGTTTTTGGCATCTTGCAACTACAATTGTCGACGACGACTCCCTCCCTTCCACACGCAACACAGAGGGTAACCCTTGCATTGGGACAGTCTTCCCCAAGAAGAAGTGCGGAAACTTGGGCTTCATAGGCGTCGTCTGAGTTTGTGGACTCACTGGAGCTGGTGACTCTGAGGTTGGGCCTGATGTTGTTGGTCCAGAAGTTTTTATCGGTTCAGAAACATGCGTTACGTTCTTGGCCTTCTATCCTGATTTCTTTGGCTTCTTGAATTTCCTCGGGTTTGGAGATTTTGAGGTGTTCTGTGTCTCTGAAGGTGGTGCCACTTCATTGACCTCCTCTTTTGCCGCAGTTTTTGAAAGATTTGAGGAAGTCTTTCCACGTCTTCCAGTACTTCCTGTTAATCCTGTACCAGGTGAGGGGCCTCCCTTTGATCACTTCCGGCAGAACTCCTAGTCTCTCAAACCCACAGATGTCAGCAGACTCGAGCTTTTCCGTGAGCTGATCCAAGAATTCATCAGGACTCATTTCTTCCGTGTTTCTAAACGCCAGCCGCCATTTTCTCGCCACGTCTCCGATGTCTCTGCGTTTCTTCGCCCTCTTCTTGTCGTTGGTTTGATTCCATTTTCTCAATTTTCTCCTCAGCTTCCTCCTTCTGATCTCCTTCTCATCTTCACTAGAAGAATCCGTTGATTCTTCACTGGAGGAGGTGAACTCTGATTCCTGGGAGCTCGAGCTAGTGGAGTCTTCCTGTCGAATTTTCGCATTCTTCGACCTTTTGGACTTCTCCCTGTGCCCTTTGCTTCTCCTCGCACTTTTGTCTCTCCTGTCTTCTCTCCTCTTCGACTTTGGCCCTTCTTCGTCCGAGCCACTGGTCGAGTCTTCAGATTCGACTGGTGAGACTATTTCTGCCTCGTCGTCCTCTTCATCACAACGAGTGGAGCTGCTTTTTGGTTTATTCTGCTCATGTTTCGTATTCTGAGGGAAGGAGACTCCTTTCGTCTTCGGAGTCTTCTTTCCCTCTTCATTCTTCTTTTTTCTCTTCCTACTTCTCCTTTTTCTGGAGGCTTCATCGTCTTCACCAGATGAGTCTGAGTCGGATTCTCCAGAGCTCGAGCTTGTGAATACTATTCGACGAATTTTCCTCCTCTTCGTCTTCTTGGATTTCTCCCTGTGCCTTCGGTCCCCTCCTGCAGAATGTTCTCTTCCACGGAATTTTCTCTCCATTTTTCGTTTCTCTGATGATTTTCTACCAGAGATACTACTATTTGGGTCTTCAGGTCTTCCCGGCGGTGATCATTCTTCCAATTCTCTTCTATCGGAAGTCCTACTATTCGCCTCCTCGGATGATACTACTTCTACCTCGCCTGCATCTTCCTGGCGTCGAGTGGAGCGGCCTCGAGACTCATGTCGCTTTCTCGAGCATACGCCCAATATTTTTACAAGAGAGAGTTAGAAAGCTTTCTCCCGTTTCAAAATTCCAAAAAGTCTCGAAAATTTATTTGTTCCGTTGGATGTAGTATTTTATTAATTTTTCACTCCTGTTTCTTCCTAAATGTTCAAGACTCGGGTGCCGCCACAGTGACAATTGTCTTCGGGTCTAAATTATTCACGACGGAAAAATGAAACTAATTATGTAATTCCACGGTTTTTTACGTGGCGTGACCCACGCCGCCAGTGATCCCGATTTCAATTGCTCATGGCAAAAACTCGAACGAAGTTATCAAAAAAATGAATTTTTATTCCGAATTACCCAAAATGCTTTGAGATGTTTTTATTTTATTTTATTCTTCAATTTTCTTTAGGGTTTTCTAAGTCCTCCATTCCCAAGTTCAAATCCCCATAAGGGATGCCAATTGTGACGGACTGACCGTTAAGGGCTCAAGACCAGGTAACAACATTTATTTACTCTTGTCACAATAATTATTGTACACACTCCAGATTATTTACAACTCTCGAAACTCTTATTCGTCAGCTTAAGGCTGTTATTCTAATCCAAAGGGGTGCAGTAGGGATTGAGAAAGGGAACATTTCGATCACTTTCGAGCCGTTCATCATAAAATTCTATTTATTCAATTATCAAAAAAAATTGGCGATCGACGCCTTTAACAAAACATAATCTGATTATCAATCTGATTTAACATGACTTCTGAATCTCTCTCGTTTCACTCGAATATTATTGGAAAAGGGGAGACGGGTTCTCCAGAGGTAATTAAAATCCACGTGTTACCTTTGATGGTCCTGGGTTTAACCTCGAACTCGTCTTCCGGATCGTCGACGATCCTTCGATATCAGACAGCAGACCGCCTTCACCGGTCACTGGCTCGAGCCTTATCCTCCTCACTGATTTTATCCACCTCGGACTGAGGATTTTTTGATCGTTTTAATTAATAAATTTAAAACGATCCCATCATCGGATTCACAACACATATTTTCTCCTCGAGAGCTCACACTAGAGAGAGAGCGCGGTGCATTTTTCGCACTTCCCCAGCTCCTCATGGCGACACTCGTCACCTGAGATATTTATTTTCTTCCCAGGACAACGCATGACGCCCCAGGTATCAAAAGTGACAGCGCCTCGTTACAACGTTTATCAAATCGTAATTTACGTTTAACGAATCAGAAATTACCATTTGAACGTAACGAACGATTTTGCGTGTTTCTTATGTGTAATTTGCCGAAAAACATCGTGGTTTGAGCTTAAAATAGCTTTTTTCCTCAATTTCGTAATTTTTCTTAACCATTGTGGTCCATAAATGGTTGATAAATAATCAATGTTTAATTAAAAACAAAAAAAATAGAAAATTGGGAAAAATAAAAAAAAAGAAATTTGAAAAAAAAAACTTTTTAGAGAGAACGAATCTGAGTCTCACTCTAGTTTCCTAATATATTTCATAAAAATAGTCACTTTGGGTAAAGAAATGAAAAAATGTCCAGTCGGGGTGGGGGAAGGGGGTACAACGTACAATTTTCTAGTTTTTTGGAGATTTTAAAGCAGTTCCGATTATGTGTGCTAATTGGCACCATGTTTAATCGGAAGAGCGGAAAATTTTCGTCGGAAATACTTATTGAAAATCTGAAAAATATGGACCTGTGCGGAAACGCAAAATTTTTGTCTAAAACTCACCAAACTCAATAATTTGACAATTACATATGGACTATTGAATAGATCAATCAACAGCAACAGACGCATACCATTCTAATTTTTAATCAATTAATAATGAATTCAAACTCATCAACAACGATTTTATTTCATGGAACACAATTAGTTTGTTTTTCTCTTTTTTCAGTGAATTAGAATGTTGATTCAATTATTCATATGGCATGTCTAAAAGCGAAAGGTCATAAACACCAAAAAGCTACTTTCCGAGTTTCCTAAAACGAGAAGGTCGTATCTCCACTCATTTTTTCTACAATTCTGCGTGAAAATACTGAAGAAACTTATTATAATACCTACATTTTCAGATGGATGATGAGCTGCATATACCACCTTTTGCCTTTAACTTATGTCCCCAAAAATGAAAAAGTCCTTAAGAGCAAAAGGTCGTAATGACAAAATTTTTAATTTTTGCTTCCGAATGGAAGCTTTGTAATCGTCCGATTTCAATATTCTCTAATTTTCATTGGAAATGATGTAGAATGGTCTGAAATGTAAAAATACGAAGTTTAGTGACCATGTCTGTATGTGAATATGTCCACTGCCACCTTCCGATGGTCAATTTTTAGAAAATTGAGTAATTAAGTGGCTAAAATAATTCAAAAAAATTTGAAATTTTGTCAGATTATAAGTCCTAATGAGGACTAACTCTGTTCACAATTTCAGCCCGATCGGTCAACAAGTTTTTGAGATAAAGCGATTCGTTTTTAAATCGTTTTTCACGGATATCTTCAAAATTATTGGACGGATTTAGATTTTTTTTTCAAAATATTCGTCTCGATGTCCTCTAACTAGGTCAACAAAAACATATATATCCGTCCCCTACTCTAAGAGAATTAGAATTTAGAGAGAAAAAATTTCCGCTTCACCCAGCCGGGAATCGAACCCGGGTCTCCCAGATACGCGCNCCAGATACGCGCTGGGCACTCTTACCGACTAAGCTACCGGGAACCACAGAAATTCACTCTCAAATCGAGATATCCACTTGAAATTTGGGCAGAATCTTCCTCTCACGATAGCAAAGGTTCGTATTGAAGACGGATTCAATCGCACCGGTAGTTTTGGAGATATTCAGCTTTTTCTAAAAATCTATTATGTTGAATATCTTCAAATCTTTGCGAACGATTCAACTTCTTTTTTTTCAAAATATTTGTCTTGATGTCCTCTACCTAGATCAATTAAAACATATATACCTTTCCATACAAAGTGTTCGAGATATTAGGTGTTCAAATAAGTTTTAGGACACTTCGATTCCGTGTCATGAAAGTAATTCAAAGTTACCACTTACATATGATATGGTGGGGTTTGTTATGTAGTATCCAAAAATAAGGGAGTCATAAACATAACCTTAAATTCTGTGAATAAAACATACAGACCGATAAGCTCTCTATTAGACACTGCATTCGCTATCAATGCCATCAAGGAAAAACTGTTAGGAAAGCATGTCAATCGATTTGTTCTGTTCTTGCGGACAACATTGTATCTAAAAGTACATGTGAGTATTGGTATAAGCGATTTAAAGAAGGTGATTTCGACGTTAGTGGCCGTGAACGTACCGGGGCCCCTGTAAGGGTGGATGACCAGGAACTGCAAGCGTTGCTGGATGAATACTCTTGCCAGACGGAAAAACAACTTGCAAAACAGCTTGGAGCAATTTAACAGACCGTTTCCTATCGCTTAAACGCAATGGGAAAGGTTCGAAAAGGAACAAAGTGGGTGCCACACTTTTTGATTCAAGAAAATAAAGATAGCCGACTTGACATATGTCTGAATCTTTACAATAAGCAACATATAAAGTCTTTTTTGTGGATAATTGTGACGGGCGATGAAAAGTGGATTTATTTTCATAATCCAAAACGCAAATATCATTGGGTTCACCCCGGCGAGCCGACAAAATCGACACCGAAGCGCAATATTCACTGTAAGAAGATCATGCTGTGGATATGGTGGGATATGAAAGGCGTCCTGCATTCTGAACTTTTGAAGTCCGGCGAGACAGTTACTGCCGATTGCTATCGTCAACAATTAATAAGATTGACCTAAGAAATTGAACAAAAACTTCCATTTACTAGCAAAGGAAAACGTCCAGTAAAATTGCTCCATGAGAACGCCAGGCCTCATGTCGGTAAACCGGTCAAAGATACGTTAATAGCTCTTGGATAAGAAGTTGTGCTATACCCGGCGTATTCACCAGACTTAGCTCCGACCGATCTTCACTTGTTTTGGAAGATGCAAAACGAATTGACTGATGTGTGATTCAAAACATTTGAAGAAGTGCAAAAGTGGATCGATAATTTCCTCGCCTCGCAAGATGAAACTTTCTTTGCGGAAGGCATCCGTGAATTACCTAACAGATGGCTGAAGGTCATTCAAAATGATGGAGATTATTTTTATGAATAAATGTAGTTTACTTTTTTCGAAAATGGATTTTAAATTTTTTGCAAAGTGTCCTATGACGTGTGGACCATCCACACGTCGGAATTGTTTAATCAATATTTTAATAACAAAAGTATTTGCGGGTCCGATGCTGAATAAGCAGTCACACGGTGTAACAAGAGTAAACCTGAGCTCTTTGAAGGTAAAACCGTGGGAGTGTTTATCAAGCATTTTGGATTTGCAACCGCCCTGCGACTCTACTCTAAGGTAGAGTACGGTGGGAGGCCGAAGTATCCAGACGTTGGCCTTCCCCAAAAATCTAGATCCGCGTACGCCGAACCCATTTAACCCATTTTGTCGTGTAACCATCCCATTAGTTAATTATATTCTCATGATTGGATAACTTGGAGTGTTACTGGTTATTTGGGAGGAGAACCATTCTTAAATCTCTCTTCCCGATTAGTTCTCCCGTGAGCGAACGACCCGTAAGCTCACCGGTATCGCTAGCTAGGCGAAAGTGTCAACTGACGACCGGCGGATTTTAAGATACAACTAATAGTATACTAAAATCCCAAACGTCCCATTGGCGCCCAACAGTTTTGGGCACTTATGTTCGGGAAACTGAGTGCAGAAATTTATATTTCGATAAAATTATGTGACGTTCCATTGGAAGGTGAGAAAAATCGAAGATAGT